CGGGGAGGGGGAGAGGGAGAGGAGGAGAAGGGGCCGCGGCTGCGCATCCCCGCCCTGCCCTGCACGAGCAGGTGTCCCCAGGGGCGGGGCGAGTGTGCGAGACCCTGGAGGAGGGAGAGAGGGGAGTGGCCAAGGAAGGGGAGTGTGCACTCCGCTAGAAGAATAGGTGTGTGTGTGCGGATGAGGGTGAAGATGGAAGGTGGGACATCAAAGGATGCAGGTGTACCTGGGGCCGAGAGGCTTATGCAAAATGGGAGAGTAGGAAGAAAAAGCTCTCCAAGCGTCAGAAGTGTGCGGGGATTGGAGGCGGAGGGAGCGGGCAAGGATGGACTCGAGCAATAAACACACAAAAGGTTGTAAAGTGTGGCTGGGTGCGGAACTGTGGAAGAGCGGTGTGCGAGGAATGGAATCGGATTGTGTGGGAAACAGAAGCGTTTGGTCGCGATGTGTGAGGGGAGTGAGCAAGAACGGTTGGAGTGCTAAAGGGATGGGCGTGGCTTTCTTGGTACCCTTCTGCCCTCACCTCCACTATTCTGAAGAATACCACACTTACACACTTAAGTCTTTGTTTTCAGGGTCCCTAGACCCCTGGAGCCCTTCTACCCAGCCCATCACATTTTTTCTGCCTTAGACTTACACCCTCCTTCTCATCCCCTTTGTGAAGCTGAGGGAAAAGGGATTCCCGAGGAGCCCACTGGGTCAAACACACTGGGAAAATATTAATTAGTAAAAGAGTAATTAACAGGAGGGAGGGGATGGAGCCTGGGACAGATTGCCAAATTAAGGTTCCTCAATGGAAAGTGATAGAGGAGACAACAATTTTTTTTTTTTGTGAAGCATTCAAGTGCTTTGGGTGGACAAATGAATGAACCAGGAGGAGGGGGTGAAAAAAGGCTGGGACTTGAGCAGACAAAGAGGAAAGCATCTGTTCTAAGGACAGCAGACTACAGTGAGCTCATGTCCGGGGTAAGGTGATACTACTTGTGCTGGGAGTTTGATAAATGAACAAGCACTTAGCTTTTCAGAAAACTGAAAAACCAAATAGCCCTGGAAATGTCACCACTGAAACACCTCTCCAGGCCCTTAGCCAATTTAGGCCTAGATTTATTTTATTTATCAATTTATCAATTTATTTATTTATTTATTTATTTATTTATTTATTTAAGACAGGGTTTCCCTGTAGCCTCAGCTGGCCTGGAGCTTGCTATGCAGAGCAGGCTGGCCTTAATCAGAGAAATCTGCCTGCCTCTGCCTCCAGAGTGCTGGGATTCAAGGTGTAAGCCACCACACCCTTCTGCTGTGGATCCTTTTCAAACCAGTCTCCTAGGTGCTCTAGTCTGCAAGGGCCAAGAACTATAAGCATCAGAACAGCAACAAGAGGAAACTGTCCAATGTGGTTTCCATTATACCCTGAATTGTGATTCACATTAATATTCAAGTCTATACTGTTACAGTCTCAGCCAGGAAATTTTGGAGAATAGAAGTTAGAGCAGAAGAAGTGGCAAACAGCTAATAAAATGGTTTCAGGTTGGGGGTGTGATGGCTCAGGTCTATAAGCCAAGCATTTGGACTGCTGAGAGTTTAAGGCCAGTGTTGTCAATATAGCAGGACACTCTCTCAAAAAAAAAAAAAATTGAGTGTGGTGGTGCATGTCTGTAATCCCAGTACTTGGGCAATGGAGATAATAGGATCAGGCATTTGAGGCCAGCCCTAGCTATGTATCTATATCAAGGCCAGCATGGACTACATGAGACCTTGTCTCATAAAAACAAAATAACAAAATAAAAAATGGAGCCACAGCAATTAAGAGCACTTACCTCTCTTCCAGAGCACCTGGGTTCAGTTCCCAGCACCCACATGGTAGCTAACACATGTCCTTAGCGCCAGTTCCAGAGAATCTGATGCCCTCTTCTGGCCTCCTTGGCCATTGAATGCAACTGGTACACTTAAATACCCGAAGGCAAAACACTCAAACACATAAAAAAATTTTTTAATGAAGCTACAAGGACAGCATTGGGAGGCTGAGGCAGGAGGATTGCTGTGAATTTGAGGGCCAACTTCAGCTACAGGGTGAGACCCTATCTCAAAAAAGGGGCCTGGAGAGATGTCCAAACAGCTAAAGAGTATTTGCTGCTCTTGCAGAGGGCCTGGATTCAATTTCCAGCACCCACATGGCGGCTAACACCCACTTGTTACTCCAATACCAGAGGATCTGATGCCTTCTTCTGGCCTCTATGGGCACCAGGCACAGATGTGGTACACATACATTCATTCAAGCACTATACATACACATAAAAATAAACCTTAAAAAAAACAAAACGATTTCACAGTTTAGGGTTTGGAAGTTTAGCTCAGTGATTGAATGCATCCTTACTATGCATAAAGCCCTGACTTCACTCCTCAGCACCAAAAAATAAACACAGCTCCAGATTTTAGTTTCTCACAAATTGGAATATGATACCTTACTCCCATGTCCCTAAATGGTCGGAGCTAATAAAGAAGTTGGGACCAATAAGATAAGTCAGACAAATCTACCTCTGTATACCTGGTTTTCTGTGGGCAGAGGCCATTTGAGAAAAGCTGTTCAGGGCAGTCCTAAGTGATAAGAAAGCTGCACTGGAGCAAAAAAGGGATGAGATACTAATGCATGCATTACAAGTTTGTAGAGGGACACAGATCGTTCTGAGGTGGTGCTGCTGGTGCCTGTCCTTGTACATACCTACACAAACAGAATAGAATGTAGAATCTTAGTGCTGTAAAGAACCTTTTAAGACCAAGTACTTTTTAAAAAATGTGTATGAGACTTTTGCCTGCATGCACATATGCCTGTAGGCCATGTGCATGCCTGGCGTCCCTGGAGGTCAGAAGAGGGCATCAGATCCCCTGGAACTGGAGTTACAGATTCCTGTGAGCCACCTCGTAGGTCCTGAGAACCAAACTTGGTCCTTGGCAAGAACAGGTATTTTTAACTGCTGACCCAGCTCTCCAGCCCCAAGACAAGAACTCTTATGTCCAATCACTTCTCACTGTCTGCTTCTAATACGCCTGAGGAGGTTCAGAAGTTGGGAAGAGGGGAGGGCATCACCTTGCAACTTTTCCTCTGCAATGGATTTCTATGTTAATATTCCTTCTGTCTGTCTTTTAATGCTAGTTTCCTCCTCAGGTGTCTGTTCCCTGTTTTATAAGACCACACTCAGCTACATCAGATAGCCTTTTCACTACTTCTAAGGACTGGTGGACTGAGACACCAAAACAAAAACGTCACATACTAACTGGAAGCAAGCACTTAGTAAAATTTTGTTGAATGAATGAGTAAAACAAAAACACAAATACGAATGTTTCCCCAGTGGCGGTGGAGAGAAAATGTGACAGCACCATCTCTGGTACCTGGATCTCCCACTAGTACCCCGACCTTCCGCCCACATAGAGACTAGTAGTGGGACTAGAGATGAGCTCAAGCTCGGCCTTCAGCCCAGAGTTGGGATCCGGGTGGCCCAGTTGCCATGGCACCGCCTTGGGCTCCACCCTCTCTCGCCCCCACACCCCTCCCTCTGCAGCTTGGGTAAGACAGCCAGTCACGTGTCCCAACGGCGTAACCACACCTATGCTCCTCAGAGCAATGCCAAGTAGTCACGTGTGATAGCAACAGGTCACGTGGTTATCAGGGTCTACACCCCCTTTCCCTCACCACACCCCTTCCATCAATGCTGTTCCGACCGCCCGTCTGCGCATGGGTGGAGGTCACATGTCCCGAACGTCCGGCACTCGCCCCGCCCTCCCGATTTCCGCGCGCCTCTTTGGCAGCTGGTCACATGGTGAGGGTGGGGGTGGAGGGGGCCTCTCTAGCCTAGGGCCTGTGTCTATGGTCTGGCCGGTAGAGTCCAGCTGCCCGGGACCGAGCCCGGGTGTATGGCACCGGAGGAACTGGCTCCCGGGTCCTGATAACGGGCCGCCGCCCCAGCTCTTGGTCGGGCAGAAGGTGAGTGCGGCCCCTTCCCAGGAATGGGGACCAGTCCCCGCCTCCCCACGGCCCCCCACGCGTGCGCATCGCGGGCTGGTTATGGAAGGGTGGCCCAAGGGCGGGAAGTGGGGCCTTTGTGGTGTGGGAGGGGATGTGATTTTTAGGGCCTGAGGTGCAGAATCTTCAATGCAAATAGTTGCATTGTGTTACCGCGTCGTGTGAACTCTTTTGTGCTCAGCATGATGTCCTCCAAAGGGAGAAGTTTTATTTTTCTTCTTCTAGGATATCACGTGGCTGGAGGGCTTGGTGGTCATTGTATTACCCGAAGCGCGGCCCCTGGAAGTTTGGGAGGGGGATGGGATGCTGGTGATGGTGCGTGTGGTGTCTTTTGAGGGAGTTCCTTTGTTATTGCTCGGTCTCACTCCCCTGACTGTGGAAGAGATTTGGTATTAGAAGTCTCTGTGATTGTAGGGTATCCCCTGATCCGAGAATGGCCACCTCTCGATATGAGCCAGTGGCTGAAATTGGTGTCGGAGCTTATGGGACGGTGTACAAGGCCCGTGATCCCCACAGTGGCCACTTCGTGGCTCTCAAGAGCGTGAGAGTCCCCAATGGAGGAGCAGCTGGAGGGGGCCTTCCCATCAGCACAGTTCGTGAGGTGGCCTTACTGAGGAGGCTGGAGGCTTTTGAGCATCCTAATGTTGTCCGGTGAGAAGGTTGAGGATTCGGAGTGGGGAGGAAAAGAGAAAAGGACCTGTGAGTGGGGGTGTGGTCGGGAGAAGTGGGACCTTGAGGAAATAGAGGAGGCCATGTTGGTGAAGGGGATTGACCAGCTAGTGACCATTTATTTTGGTCAGGCTGATGGATGTCTGTGCTACTTCCCGAACTGACCGCGATATCAAAGTGACCCTAGTGTTTGAGCATATAGACCAGGACCTAAGGACATACTTGGACAAAGCACCCCCACCAGGCTTGCCAGTTGAGACCATCAAGGTGAGAAGGATGAGTAGACATTGGGAGATGGATTGGGATCTTTGTAATAAAACTTGTTAGGATTTTGAGTATGATACCTAGTTTCCAGTGATTCTGTACTTCCTTCAAAACCAGGATCTGATGCGCCAGTTTCTAAGAGGCCTAGATTTCCTTCATGCTAATTGCATTGTTCACCGAGACCTGAAGCCAGAGAACATTCTGGTGACAAGTAATGGGACAGTCAAGCTGGCTGACTTTGGCCTGGCCAGAATCTACAGCTACCAGATGGCCCTTACACCTGTGGTCAGTAGAAATATGGTAGCCAGAATGGGTTGTGGTTGGGGGTAAGACTTGATTTCCCAAAGCAACTGAGAAGTCTTCTGCTTCATGTTTTCAGCCAGGCAGTTGTGATTCCTATCTGGAAGGCCCTCATTCATTTTTTTTTTCTGTTTTCTTTAGGTTGTTACACTCTGGTACCGTGCTCCTGAAGTCCTTCTGCAGTCTACATATGCAACACCTGTGGACATGTGGAGTGTTGGCTGTATCTTTGCAGAGATGTTTCGTCGAAAGTAGGGAACGCAAAACTCTTTTTTTTTTTTTTGGTCTTTTTGAAACAGGGTCTCTCTGTAGCCCCAGCTGTCCTGGAACTCACTATGTAGACCAGGTTGGCCTTGAACTCACAGAGATCCGCCTGCCTCTGCCTCTCAAGTGCTGGGATTAAAGGTATGCACCACCATGCCCAGCAAAACTCCTTTTTTACTTAATATTTTTATTTTATGTGTGTGTGTGTATTGCCTGCATGTAGGTAAGTGCACCTGTGTCATGCAATGCCCATAGAGAACAGACTGTCCAATCCCCTGGAACTGGAGTTATGGACAGTTGTTAGCTGCCATGTGGGTACTGGGATTTGAACCCAGGTCTTCTGCAAGAACAGTCGGTGTTCTTAACCGCTGAGACATCTCTCCAGCCCTGGAACTCAAAACTCTTAAGCCACTCTTGAATTCCACAAGTCTTTTTGTTGTTTATGGTGCTGGAGAATAAACCTTGAATGTACTCTTAACCACTGAACCACACTCCAAGCTCCCAAATCATTTACAAGCTGCATCTCTTCTGGCCCATTCTTTCTGTATATGTATGGCGTTGGATATATGTAGGGTCTTGCTCATGCGAGGCACATGCTCTGCCATTGACCTGAAGTCCCAATCCCTTGTCCCCCAATTGTTTCTTTTTTTTTTTTTTCTCTTCTCAAAGACAGGGTCTCACTGTGTAGCTGGCCTAGAACTCACAGAGATCCACCTGTTTGCTTCCTGAGTGCTGGGATTAAACTCATGCACTACCGTGCCTGGCCTGCCTCCCACCCACACACCTTTTTTTTTTTTTTTTTAAACAACTGACCTGTAACAGCCAGTATCCAGAAGTTCTGAAGTGTCCTGGAATCAGAAACTTCATATTTCTTTATTCTCCAGACTATTTTGAGCTACTTAACAGTAATCAGTCCCCCATCTTTGAACTGTTTCTTTGACTTTTTTTCTGCCTTAGGCCTCTCTTCTGTGGCAACTCAGAAGCTGACCAGTTGGGCAAAATTTTTGAGTAAGTACCCACAGCCAGTATCCAGAAGTTCTGAAGTGTCCTGGAATCAGAAACTTCATATTTCTTTATTCTCCAGACTATTTTAAGCTACTTAACAGTAATCAGTCCCCCATCTTTGAACTGTTTCTTTGAATTTTTTTCTGCCTTAGGCCTCTCTTCTGTGGCAACTCAGAAGCTGACCAGTTGGGCAAAATTTTTGAGTAAGTACCCAACAATGGAAATGAATTTTCCATTCTGGGTTATGTTTCTGCTGAAACCCAGTTGGCAACTAGCTCTCCCCTGGGAATAAAAGCTGGAGGAGGACCCTCCTGACCAGAGTTATCTTGTCCCCACAGTCTGATCGGATTACCTCCAGAAGATGACTGGCCTCGAGATGTATCTCTACCCAGAGGAGCCTTTTCCCCCAGAGGGCCTCGGCCTGTGCAGTCAGTGGTGCCAGAGATAGAAGAATCTGGAGCACAGCTGCTGCTGGTACTGGGCATAGGCATGGGGCACAATTGGGTTGAGAAATAGTAATGGGCTGGTGAGAGGATTCAGTGGGTATAGCTCTCGCTGTAAAGTGTGAAGTCCTGAGTTTGAATCACCAGAATTCATGTAAAAGCTGGATATGGTACTGTGCATCTGAAATTCCAGCACTCCTATGGAGAGATGGGAAGTAGAGACAGAAGGCTCCCTGGGAGCTCATAGGTCAGCTGTTCTGGTATACACAGTAGCGAAAAAAAGACTGTCTCAGACAAGGAAGGCAAGGACTGACACTTGAGATTGTCCTCTGACCTCCACGTGGGCACTGGAACGAACACGTGCATGCCTACACTTTCACACGCAAAAATGCACCCACAAAGGGGAAAAATAACACATGCCCAAGAAACTGGTTGTTAGGGGTCAAGACCATTGTGGCTCATAAGATCTAGATAGTGAATAGGCTGCCAGAGTAGAATGAAGGAAGCAGCCCATCCCAGGTCTGTTTGGGGGTGGGCCGCAGTCTCCTTTCCATGGTTTTCTGACCTTTGCCTCTCCCCTTAGGAAATGCTGACTTTTAACCCACATAAGCGAATCTCTGCCTTCCGAGCCCTGCAACACTCTTACCTACACAAGGAAGAAGCTGATCCTGAGTGAGCAGTACAGGGGCTGCCTTTCCCCCTTCTGGACACTTGAGTGGAGAGAATCCCACTGCCAAGGCAAACTGCCTTCCCTGAAGCTGTGCCTCCAACTTTTTACAGAGAATATTTTTATGCCTTAAATGACAACCCCCTCCCCCGCCCTTATTCCTCTACACTAAAGGGTATATCCTCTTTTCTTCCCTACTTTATATTGGGATCCCTTTTTATACAGCAAAACAAAACAAGACAAAGATATCTGGTCTTTTCTTTCCTTTAATATTTGTCTCATTGGCTTTACCATTGGCAGATTTAAGAAACCACCATTAAGAAGGATCTTCCCTGAAACCTTAAAGACACTCTCCCTAAATTACATAAGACCAAGGCAGGCAGCAGAGTTTTGTTTTGTTCTTCAATATTTTTATTATTTTATGGGTGTGTGTTTTCTGTGTGTGTATGTGTGTACGTGTGCACACGCCATGTTCATGCCTGGTACCCAAGGAGGACAAGAGGGCATCAGATCCCCTATAACTGGAGTTAAAGACAGTCTGTGGTGAATGGCAATGTAGATGCTGGAACCTGAACCAGGGTCCTCTAAAAAGAACAGGCCATGCTCCTAATTGCTGAGCTATCTCTAGCTCTGGCATTAAGGTTCTTTGACAAAGATTGGAAAGATCTTTAAAGTCTCTTTGAATATGTGGTTTAAATGGCTTTTGTTTTTTATATTCACTGACCTTCACTCTGGGTCCTGCCTTTACAGGAATTTCGGGTGGGGCTGGGAATGTAGTGCGGTAGAAGTAACGTGCCTGGCCATGTGTGAGACTGGGCCATATCACCACCAACAAAAAAATTGTTTTTCTGCTTTTCCCTAATACTGTGTTGATTTGTACTAGGAATGTACCATATTCTCTTAGGGAGAGGCGGGTGGGTTTCTTTTCCCTGTAATCTTACTCCTGTCAAAATATGTAAAGGCGTAATACATATAACTGTTCAGTTGATCAGTTATGTGGCAAAAGACCTTTCGAAAAAAACAAGGGGGTAAAGGTCTTAGGTTTTCAGAAATTAAGGGTGTTATAAAAAGCTGGGAGAGATCAAAGCCAAGTCAGGTGACACACATCTGTAATCCCAGCAGTGGGAGGCTGAGGCAGGAGGATCAGGAACGCTAGGTCATCCTCAGCTAAAGCAAGTTCAAGTCCAGCCTGGGCTACAAGACCCTATCTGATGGGATGGGGAGGAATCCAAAGTCTCATAGAAAGGCACTAGGGTTGGCTCGAGGATCTTTTTGATTCCGAAATCTCATTGCTAGCCAAACACCAAGAATCTACAGGAACAAAGAAAGGACAAGTCAGTTTTGGATCTTGAGGTTTAGGGTTTAGGAATGTACCTGAGGTCAATGGGAGATGTTACCTCTGTAAAGCTAAAGAAAAGTCCAACACCCCCTAGGATTTTCAGGGCTTCATCTGAATGTTTAAGAAACTTTTCTCCACACATCTGGCACGCAGAATTCCTGTTCTTGCACATCTGAGGGTAAAATGTATGGATAGAAAAAGCTATTAACCTGCCCTTATCCAAATGTGTACTGTGAATGTTCCCAGAAATTATTTACTAGTGTTTGAATTCCTGTAGACTGTTCCCTCAACCACCCCTTCATCCCCTTAGCAGCCCAATTCAAGGCAGCTGCTAAATCAACCCATTTCTGCCTTGTCTAATGAGCTTCCTACCTTCCAGCTGTGCTCCCTACCCCTCGACTCACTGCATTGCAGGAAGTGTCATCTTGTAGGTACAGGGTTGTGAGGTTGAATAAGCCACAACAGTCAAAGCTTCTTTCCAGTTCATGCCGGGTGTTGTTGCTCAAGACCCACCAAGAGGCATTGATGACATCTGTCTAGGGCATACAAGCAGAGGGATATGAATCTCCCTACTTACTGATCAAGTGCCTCAATTTTCATGTTTTAGCAGGGTGGTCAACATCCTGCAGAAACAAGGTAGCATGTCACAATTGGAGACAATGTTGAGTGTCGTTATCAAGTTCTGATTAGATTTTGGAGAATTAGCCATACATGTCTGTGTCTGAAAGTAGTGCACCTAAGGATGATTTCAGGTACTAAAGGATCAGACTAATATAAGAGTTAAGAGATTTAAAGGACTGGAGGGCAAGCAAGTACTTGAATGTCCCCTTACCTGTTTGCTTCGATTAATGGCCAGACATGAGCAAGAAATTCCAAACTGGAAGATAAAGACCAAACCAAGAATGATCATGTACTGAGAGGTTAAGGAAAAGATCACATTTACATTTTAAATATTTCACCCAGTGTGGTTGGCACACACCTGTAATTGGGATTTAAGAGGATACGGTTCCAAGCCATCTCATCTGTTCACAAAATTACACAGCTTTATAGAGTTGGAAACAAAAGCATCAACTTTTGTGTATTACAGAGTAAAACAACAAGGAACCCTACCTGAGGTCCCCTAGCCTTTTAGACAAAACCCTCCCAAGGGCCCAGGTGCCCCAGTCACTTTAGGTCAGGATACAAAGAATAGCAGGACTTGGTGGTGGTTAACAGCACCCACCAGTCCAGCCACTGCAATGAGGAGAAGGAAGACTCCAACAGCAATGACTCCTCCAATGATGTGAATGCTGGACACCAGACCCAGACCTTTGCCCCAAGCAGCCACTCCAATGAGCAATAAGCCCACCAGCTGCAAGAGAGGAGACATTTCAAAGGATTTAGCCTGGTGTGGCACACACCTGTAATCCCAGCACTAGGGAATCAGGCAGCATAGCAAAGCCCGGTCTCAAAAGAATTTTAGCATTCAGCACTGCCAAAGGCCATTACAAGGGGACGTGGACAAAATGGGGTAGACAGGGAAGGGGAATGAGGGCAGCACCATCAGAACCAAGGGCATCTCTGGCGCTCTTCACTGGTACTGGGGAATGGCTGGGAGGAGAGGCAAGGGCAGTAACGTCTCAGTGTACAAACGGAGCCCTTAGCGTCCTCCAGCATCTATTTTGGGAAGAGATTCAATGACAGAAGACGTACTTTAAACCTACAATCTTCAGTTCACCTCCCCCTCAACACCCTGACACAAGCCCCCCATCACCGGAAGTCTCCCCTCTTCCACGGAAGTCCCCAGGAATTCCCTATTCGCCGGAAGTTCTTGGGAATCTTCCCAGAACCCCCAGTACACCCCTCTCCCTACCGGAAGTCCCCTAGAGATTCTCCTCTTTCGTCTTTCCGCCCCGAAGCTTGCCCCATAAAACCTCACCATGTAGACCACGTTGAGAGCGCACAGCGCGTTCTTGGAACAGGCAAAGCCTCCGCAAACCATCTCCCCAATTCTTGGGACCCAAGTGGTCCCTGGGACTTGGGGGGAAAGTATTGGGGACCGTCTTCTAGGACTCCGACAGCTTCTATCGCTTTAAATCGAAGCCAGTCAAACCAATTCTCTGCGCCTGCACCGTCCCACCCCTGCCTCTGGATTGGCGAAACTCGTGGCTAACCCAGGACTTCGATGGTCTCAATGCCAATCAATCTGCATTACGTCACTAGCCCGCCTCCCTGTCCCTCCCTCAGTTTCTTCATTGGACGAAACTTAAAAACTGGGGACGGGGTTTCTAGGTATTCTCTTAGGGACCAGAGCCTAAACTCAAAAGCGTAGATACAAAGCGCAGTCACCCATGATCCGAGTCGAGAGACTGGGAATCCGAGGAGAAACTGGAGACTCAGGTGGACAGAAAGACCGGAGGGACTCGTAGAGCTGGGTGGAAGGGGATCCGCCCCTCGAAGGCTAGTCCTTCCCACCTGTTTCCCCTCATCCCACGATGACCTCACCGTGACGCCATCATTTGGTTATTACTGTGTCACACTCGGGAACACCAAGAGGAGCCAAATATTGAACTATGTAGCCTAGCCAGGGAGGGCCCGAAATCCTCACACATTTGTTAAATGTGTCTGCTAGTAAACATGTTTTGTTCCACATTCCTCCCTCTGCAGTGTGAACACGTCAGCACTTCAAGGGGAAGTTGAGCAAGTGCTTTCTTGGTTGTGACAAAGCCACAGACACACAGAAGTGTTCCTGCATCTTTAAACACATGCACGCCTGATCCAGGGAGAATCAGGTATATAAATAAGTAGGAGTCTCCGTATTTTCTTTTTTTACTATCTTATTTTGTTTATTTTATGTTTCAGATTGTATTGCCCGCATGTATGTAGGTGTGCTAGTGTTATGCAATACCCACAGAGGTCAGAAGAGGGTGCTGGATTCCCCGTGAACTAGAGTTACAGACGGTTGTTAGCTGCCATGGGCAACATGTGGGTGCTGGGAATCAAACCCCGGTCTTCTGTAAGAGCAGCCAGTACTCTTAACCACAGAGCCATCTCTCCAGGCTTGAGTTTTCATATTTTCACTCCAGAGGTAGGAATAGTCAATGGTTGGTCAGTAACTTTGTTATTGCAGAAATGTTTCGAGGTACTGCCCTTTGAATGGGAGTGAGAAATGACACAATCCCTCCCCCATCAACTGCACAGAATGATTTAAGTCTGTGTGCTCATATCCTGTGACCACCTGCAGTACAGTCTTTCTTCTAAAGTCAGACTGCAGGGGTTCTAATTTTGCCACTTACTATCTGTATCACCTTCTTCCAGGTACTTAAATTCTCTGTGCCTATTTCTTCATCTGTAAAAATGGGGATAGATAAGGGCTGCCTAACTAGCCTATCAGCAAGTTCTGAGTTCGATTAAGAAAACCTGCCTCAATAAACAAAGTCGACAGAAATTGAGGAAGACACCTAGTGTCAATTTGGGGCTTCCACATACATGGGCACACATGTGCATGTGCACACCCTCACACACACACACGCACGCACACACACACACACAGAGGCTGTGGTGGTTACTTTTAATTGTCAACTTGACACAACGTAGAATCACCTGTGAAGAGAGTCTCACTGAAGGACTGTCTATATTGGGTTGGCCTATGGGCATGACTGTTGGGGGACTGTCTTAAATTCACAGATGTGGGAAGACCTAGCCCCCAACTGTGGGCGGCAGGCACCATTCCTTCCTAAACTGTGTAAGAGTGGAGATGGGGAGCTGAGCACAAGCAAGCAAACGAGTAAGCGTGCATTCATTTCTCTCTGCTCTGGACTGTGGATATGATGTGACCAGCAGTTCAAAGTTCCTGCCTTGATTGCTCCACAACAATGGATTGTAACCTGTATTGTAAGCTGAAATAACCCATCTCCCTTAAGTTGCTGTTTGTCAGGGAATTATATCACAGCAACAGAAATGAAAGTAGGGAACATGCCAGGCGTGGTAGCACACACCTTTAGTCCCAGCACTCAGGAGGCAGAGGCAGGTGGAGTTCTGTGAGTTTAAGGCCAGCCTGGTCTACATAGTGAGTTCCAGGCCAGCTGGGGCTACAGGGATGCCATGTCTCAAAAAAAAAAAAAATACTAGCTGCTCTTGAAGAGGATCCAGGTTTGATTCCCAGCACCCACATGTTGCCTAATAGCCCATTCCAGGAGATCTGACACCCTCTTCTGCCTTTTGCAAGCATTGCACAACATGGGTGCACTTACATACATGCAGGCAAAACACTCATACACATAAAATAAAAATAAATAACGATTTAAGTATAATCAGATCTTTGTTTCACCTATTGTTGGCTTTTCTCAGCCTCAGTTTCTTCTATATAATAGGGATAAATTATCCTACCCTTTGGACTTGCCGTGAAAATAATACATAAGGCAATGTGTTGTAAACAATTAAATGTTATACATACATTATTATGAGAGTAATTGAACTTGGGGCATGTAATTTTATCTGGTTATAGCTTATTTTTCTCTTCTATAACTCATTATACCCATAAATACTTGGGCCTTTTGAACAGAAGATGGTTATAGTGGGTAGCTGAACTGGGCTGGGCAGGGCATACATGTAGATGTGCTCACACACCTGTAATTGATACTGGGCTGGGTTTGCATGGGCTGGGCATCCATGTAGATGTGCCCACATACCTTTAATTGATCAGGGGCTGTGCTATGCTGTGGTGCGTTTGGCATCGATGTAGATATGCCCACATACCTGTATTTTATAACTCTCTGGGTTAGGTTGGGCTGAGCTGGGCTGCACATCCATGTAGATGGGCCCACCCACCTGTAATTAATAAGGGAATAGGGTAGGCTGTGCTGGACTGGATTGGGCACCCATGTAGATGTGCCCACACACCTGAAATTGAAAAGGGCTGGGCTTACACAATAAGATTGTAAATACACAAGGCAATTGGAATATGTAGTGAGAGGGGTGAATAACTGAAACCTGGAATGCAGGCCCCTGTGGTGACAGATCAAGTGTATGTGGATTTCTGTGTGAATCTGAGATAAATTTGCAAATCACCAAGAGTGTGGGATTATATCTGAGATCTGGCTGGCCACATTTTCCTGGAACCAACACCCATCATTAATTAGCCACCTCCCCCAGAGGCCCTGGGGGATGCTTGTCCGGGTCTCTCCCTCCACCTGGCTGAGGAGTAGTAACAGGAGCTGGCTGTCAGAGCCTCATGCCAACGCTAGAGGGGGTAGGAGGTGTAAGAGGTAGTAATGTCCTGGTTGTGGGTTTGAAACTCACCAATCAGGAAGTGAGGCTGACAGACGGAAGGGCGGCAGAGGCCAGGAGTTCTGGGGCACAGAAGAAGGGGCCTTCTGGAGTTTGAGGGCTGCCAGAGCCATGGGCTTCAGGGCCAGAGGTGGTTGTTAGGCTGGCAAGACAAGTCTGTGCAACATGCATGCCCAGAGGCAGTGGGCTGCAGCCACAGTAAGAGCAGAAGTCGGGCGACATGAGGTGGCGAAGCAGGCTCTAAGCCGACTCAGGAAGCTGGCAGAGAGAGTGGGTGACCCTGATCTCCGAGATGGAATCCAGGCCTCACTGGACATCATACGAGGTAAGAGAAGTACCAGCCTCCAACTTGGCTGTTTTGTTGACCAGTTGGGGCAGGGAAAGGCTAGCTGTGTTGTGAATGATTTCTCCTTTCTCAAGGAGCTACTTACTAGACCCTAAGATGGAGTTGGGACTCGGGAAGAATACCTTTGGGTAGGATGGAAAAAGACGGGGTTATCACCCTTCTATCTACAAAACTCTCTTCCTTATACCTCAGGGAGCAAAATACAGGTCACAGTTGAGCTGACCTTGGCAATGGAGATGTGGGTGAGCACTGGGAAGACAGGCTGTGACAGAGCCATGATAGATGGAGATGCAGTCCCTGCCTGGGGAGTCCAGAACAGGAAGCAGTCTGGGTCAAAAGGTTCCAGGACTGGATAATGTGTCCATTCCCAGGACCCACTAAAGATCAGTGACCTCTTGTTCTCCAGCTGTCAGAAATGAACATGTATGCACAGAGAGAGAGAGAGAGAGAGAGAGAGAGAGAGAGAGAGAGAGAAGAGAAAGAGAGAAATGAGAAGGACCATGTAGAAAGTATCAGGTTCCCAGACACACATTAACATTTAAAACAGCATACTCTATACAACCAAAGTGCCCAGAGGTTCCCAGGCCTTGCCTTGGTCCCCTCTTCTCCCTAGGCTCCTGTTCTTGTCTTCCCCTCACACTCCTTCCGTTCTACCCCCTTAGTGCCATTAGAGTAAGTGATGACAACACAGGGAGGAAGTGCTGTCATGGCAACACCATCCGCCACATCCTCCTGCCCACCCTAGTCTTCAATCCTGTGGTGGGGCCCTGGTAAATCTGCTCTCCATCCACAAGGCCCACAGTAAGGAACTTGTGGAAGTGCTCTATCTCATTCACCTCTGGATAGAACCAAGAACTCACAAAAGCAGGTTTTCTTGCTCATGAAGTGTGTCAGGCGGAAGTCCCTCCTCCATCATATGCTATTTGCTTTCAGGCATGTCAGTCCTCTCCATTCTCAGATGCTTCCCAGAGGTGGGGTGAGTTGTGAAGGAACCATTTCTTCCTATCAAAGATGCCTCCTAGCAGACCGTTCTGAGGGGAGAGGCCACCAGAGCATAATTTGGAGGAAGGATTGGTTGGTTTGGGTTCCTAATAGGACAGTCTGATTCCCTTCCCTTGCCTCCCTCTTCTCATTTCCTTTCTGAAGCTAGTGTTGTTTTCAGCTCCTGCATCCAAGCTTTTGATAGGACTACACATGACATCTTCCCTCATATCCTAAGTGATGAGAAGGGCAGACCTGGTAGGAATGGCCCATAGAACCTTCTAGGGAAGTACTCTAGATCCCACCTCTGTCTGAAGGGACTGGGATTGGGGTCAGATAAAGAAGTTCCCCTTAGTGGTGGAAAGGGAGGGACTCCTAGGTGTGATTGGGCACACCAATAATCCCAGTGCTGTAGTCTTGCAACTCAGGAGACTGAGGTGGGATTGAGAATTGCAGATCAGTTTGGATTTCATAGCAAGTCCTAGACTCAGCTACATAATGAACAGCTGTCTCAACAGCAAGAAGCCAGGCATGGTGGCTCATACCCTTAATCCTAGCATTTACTCTGGAGGCAGCGGTCAGCCCCATCTACATAGTGAGTTTCAGGTCAGTTAGGGCGACAGGGAGACCCTGTCTCAAAAACGAAAAAAAAAATCTCAGAAAGGGGGGATGGAAGAGACTGGATGGAGGCTTTTCTCCATATTTGTGTGTGTGTGGAGTGTATTGCTGGGGATGGAACCTAGGACCTTCAGGCCCTCTACAAGCCACACAAGTGCTCTACCAGTGCACCCCCAGCTCAACATTGCCTTGAACTCACTGTGTAGCTCAGGCTGGCCTTGAACTTTCAGCAATCCTCCTGCCTCAGCTTCTTCAAAAGGGTACACCATCTTGCCTGGCAATTCTCTACTCTTTTTAAAATCTTTTTGAGACAGGGTCTCCCTGTAGCCCCAGCTGTCCTAGAACTCACTATGTAGACCAGGCTGGTCTCGAACTCACAGAGATCCGCCTGCCTCTGTCTCCCGAGTGCTGGGATTAAAGGCATGCACCACCACAGCAGAGCCTTAATTCTCTACTCTTCATAAGTAATTTATTTATTCTACTCTTAGGAAGACAGAATTCTGTTCCATTGAACATGATGGAAAACCGGTCATTTTTAAAAAAGATTCAGATAGAGCCAACAATTCCTTTACCAACTCTCCTTCATAAAGACTAGGGAAGGATCTCCTGTCCTATCGATGGTGTCATCTGAATTCTGCAGGGCACTCCTTAAGAAGTACTGACCTCTAAGATAGGACCTGGGAGAGAGTGGGTTTGGGCCTCTGGAGAACAAAGGGCTCCTGGCATGCCAGTTCAGCCCCCCACCCTCACCCCCCACCAGACCGAGCATGCCACAGGCTCCTTCCTCCAAGAGCCGCCCACGGCAGCACTTATTATAGTCTCGGTTGCGTCAAGAGGGTGGGACTCCAAATCAAGGGACCGCAGAGACTCCAAATCCCGGGCAGGGGTCTCCAAGTCTTCGAGGACATTTCCTTCCTTCTGGCCCACCCCACTTCAGTGGGGTCTCAGTCTTTCTTCTGCACGTGTTTAACTGCTCACATTTCTCTGCCCAGCTGAAGGACAAAGCCTAGAATTCCAAAGCCCCTAAAGGGGTGGGGACACAGAGCAAATGGTGCCCACTCGCCTTGCATCCCTCTCTAACCTCCTGAAAAAGCTCGGCCCCACAAACCTCAGGAGACTTGACTGTAAACCCCCAAGAGACCCGCTGCCGGCTGCCTCAATTGGGTGGGGGCTTGTGTTCAGGGAGCAAAATCCCCCTCAGGTGGGTAACCAGGTGTGTGAGTAGTGCCTTCTCTAACCCAGCATCCCCTGGCTGATCTCCCACCCACCCTACACACCAATCCCTTCTCTCTGCTTATCCCCGCTGCTGCTTCTGAGGCACTCTTGGAGCTACGGTTGCTATGGAGACTGGAAGCATTTTGGTAGGGGGGGTGTCAACTGGTAGACGTTTTCTTCCACCTTGTGCTGGGGCCTTTGACTCATTCCGAAGCCTATGCTCTGGAGCCCTCAAGTCTCTCTCCTCCAGAGGCAACCCCCCCCACCCGGCTAAGTTCCTTGTTTGTCCCCATCCCTGGGGAACACTTTCTAAGTTTACTTTGGGACAGTCGGCCCAAGTCGCAGCGTCGCTTAAGTATTAAGAATGGGGTGGAGATGGTGTAAGAGGGGGCTGGATAATAAGAAAGGGAACGCACCCAGGTACCCCGAGAAGAGGTCCTGGGAAAGGGATTTCAGGGCTCCCCTCTTTCTCACTTCAACTTCCCCAGAACTGACAGAGACCCGAAGAGTTTTCTCTGTTCCCTATACCTGTCCACCCAATAGATAGGGTTTTACCCTTGTCCTTGTATGCTATACTTTACATTTACGCTCCGTAACCTTGATGTGATAGAAGGAGTGGGCTTGGTGGGTGTTGGAGGTGACTCCAAGTCCCAAGAAATCCAGGCCAGGCTTTGGGAGGGAAATCCAGTCCTGGATTTTGGTGCCGCCCTAGCAGACAGCGGTGCTGGTGGAGAGGTTGGGGGGAGATGGAGTGGGGGGGCCCGCGGGCCACCTCCTCCTCAATGTGAGGGGAGCGCCCGGACACTGCTCGCATCCGGACCGAGCCAAGCCGGGGCGAGGCCCCCGGCCTCTTCGCCGGGATCCACGCCCCTCCCCTCCCAGACCCCAGACCCGTGGGTTCTCACCCCCTCCCGTTCCCACCTTCCTCCCCCACCGCCTCCTATATCCCCAGCATCCTCCCCTTGCTCCTGCGAATCCCCCGCACAGACAGCCCCACTAGTCTCCTACCCTCAAGATCCCCCTCTCGGACTGCATCCGCGGCCTCTGCCCATTGAGTCCCTATTCCCCGCCCTTGCCTCCCCAGCACCGGTGCTTCTCCCCCAGCCTCCGGTCCCCTTTTCTGCCCCCATTCCTCCTTCCCCATTTGCCCCCACTACTGTCCTCCCCACCCTCCTCCGCCCATCTCAGCGCCCCCACCCAAGCCGGGGTGCACGGTCCGGCGCGCCTCCCTGGAGCAGCACCAAGGTCCCGGGGCTCCAAGGGGGTGGGGGCGCAGGGCGGGGAGCATGGGGAGGGGGCGCCCCATGTGATGGGAGGGGGGCGCAAGAGGAGGCGGCGGAGGCGGCGGCGACAGCGGAGCCGGGCCGGGGGCTCAGCGGGGTCCGGGAGCTGGGGGCAGCGAGCAGGGCGGCCCCATGGCCGGGCCCCCCTGAAGCAGTCCCGGGGAGTCCCCTCCCCTCCCCAGCTCGGGGGTCTCCGGGCCCCATGAGCCGGGGCGCGGGCGCGCTTCAGCGCCGGACAACGACCTACCTCATCTCGCTGACCCTCGTCAAGCTCGAGTCGGTACCTCCGCCGCCGCCGTCTCCGTCTGCAGCAGCGGCCGGCGTCCCCGGGGCCAGGGGCTCGGAGCCCGGAGATCCTGGCAGCCCCCGAGGCGCGGAGGAGCCGGGAAAGAAGCGGCACGAGCGTCTCTTCCACCGGCAGGATGCGCTGTGGATCAGCACCAGCAGCGCGGGAGCCGGGGGCGCGGAGCCCCCCGCGCTGTCCCCGGCTCCGGCCAGTCCGGCTCGCCCGGTGTCCCCGGCTCCGGGCCGTCGCCTGTCCCTTTGGGCCGCCCCTCCGGGACCCCCGCTCTCCGGAGGGCTGAGCCCGGACCCCAAGCAGGGGGGCGCCCCCTCTTCCTCCCGGCGCCCTCTACTCAGCAGCCCGAGCTGGGGGGGTCCGGAACCTGAAGGCCGGACAGGCGGCGGCGTCCCGGGCTCGTCCTCCCCGCATCCTGGCACCGGCAGCCGAAGGCTCAAGGTGGCGCCGCCTCCACCCGCTCCCAAGCCTTGCAAGACTGTGACCACTAGTGGAGCCAAAGCCGGCGGGGGCAAGGGCGCGGGTAGCCGCCTGTCATGGCCCGAAAGCGAGGGCAAGCCCAGGGTCAAGGGGTCAAAGAGCAGCGCCGGGACTGGAACTCCTGCCATTGCCGTCGCCGGGGGAGGGGGCGCTGCGGTTGCGACCTCTGGTGGGACCGGGGCTGGGCCTGGAGCCCGAGGGAAGCTGTCCCCTCGGAAAGGCAAGAGTAAGACCTTGGACAACAGTGACTTGCACCCAGGACCGACTGCAGGCTCTCCTCCGCTAACCGTGCCAGCAACCCCGATTCCAGCCGCCTCTGTCACCGCCTCCTCCGCGCAGCCCCCCGGGCCTGCACCTCCCATCACCCTGGAGCCTCCAGCTCCTGGGCTGAAAAGGGGCCGGGAGGGTGGTCGAGCATCCACTCGCGACCGCAAGATGCTCAAGTTTATCAGCGGCATCTTCACCAAGAGCACAGGGGGTCCTCCTGGCCCGGGGCCTCTTCCCGGACCCCCAGGCTTGTCTTCCGGCGGGTCCAGGGAGCTGCTGGGCGCAGAGCTCCGCGCCTCCCCTAGTGAGTAGGGCCAGGAGAATCGGGAGGGTGCTCAGCTGGGGTGGGGGCGCGCTCTTGGGTGGATGGAGGACCTAGGCTGGCTTCTCCACCAAGGACTGGGGCAAAGAATGAGAAGAGGTCCCGAAGCGCCGTTGGAAGTGAGAGATGAGGGATTTCAGAGGCCTTGGTCACTGCCTGCAGGAAATCACCCCCAGAGAAGCTCCAGACCCCAGTTCCAGCCTTGACTGGATTCTGGAAGCAAGGAGAGGGAGGCTTTGCTTGTGTGAAGGGACATTAGAGGGAAGGGGACGCTTTCCCCTGAGTGCTTGGCACAGGTGGCTTAGCAGTGACCTTGCAGACAGGTCTGCCAGGAACCGGTCTCCTGGGCTGAGAGCTGGCTGGTGGTTTTCCCATGCAGGGAAGGTGGATTGGGCGGCTCTTGAGTGTGCGGGGGCTGGAACGTGCAGATGTAAATGTGAACTGAAAGGGGCCAGATAGGAAGCCTTGCTTCCCTCACTACCCACCCCCGCCCCACAGCGGCGTCGAAACCCGCCCGGGGCTGACCCCGGAGTGAGTCAGGGGGGCGGAACTGCTGCAAAGACAATTCTTACCCCAGGAGACTTGGGAGGCGGTACAGAGAAGGTAGTGGTTTTTCATTCCAAGGGGTGTCTTTATTATTATTTTCTAACTGGTAGAGACAGGCGCGGGGACTCGGTTCCGCTCACATTCCCCGGAGGGGAGGCGGGTCTGGAAGCGGGGGCGGCCTCAGGGGTTTGGCTCCTGAGCGGGTGGGAGCAGATGGCTCTGGATCCCAGAGTTCCCGCCGCAGCTGCGGCGCCCCGGGAACGTCCGGCCAGTGTCAGGCGCGGGGGCTGGTCCCGGCGGGTGCAAGGAGCATCTTTTCTTCCCAGGCCTGTGACTTCTCTTGGCCAGAGAGGGTGGAGCCTTCCCCTAATTCTTTTGGAGGGTGCTTGTGCGGAGGGAGGTCGTGGGAGACCTAGGCAGAGGAAAATTCAAGCTTTGCCCCTTTGGGTCGTGAACAGGGGTTCGAGCTACCTGTGCTATTGACCTTGAAAAGAGGCAGAGGGATACCTCACCTCCGTTTTTCTCCTGCGAAATGGAGATTGAGGAAGACCCACTCCGTTGTAGGACCCAACCCCTCCTCCCTGGACCTGCCCTGGGAATCTGCCAGTGGGAGCCCCACTGTTCTCTTTGGTGGGAGATGAACCATCACGCAAAGTCCTGGTCTCTTGGTTTGGGCCAGGGACCCACGTGTGGGGATGTGCTTTAAGGGAGATGCCAACTGAAGTATTTTTGTCTTGCTGGCTCTGTTGCTAAGCAACCACTGAGCGGTGGCAACAGCTGTGGGGAGAGAGGCTGGGATGGGAAGACCACTCTCAGACCTGTCTGAGAGACTCAGAACAGGCAGGGTCCTGGGGGTGAGGTGAACCCTTCCTGAAGGAGGGTGGCTTAGGGCTGGAAGTCCTGCTAGGCCAGAGTCTCCCTTCTTAATTCACCTTTCCCTTTTACAGAGGCTGTGGTCAATAGCCAGGAATGGACTTTGAGCCGCTCCATTCCTGAACTACGCCTGGTAGGTAACCCAGGCCTCTGGCCTGCAGGGGAGGACTTCTCATCCCCTCCAGGCTCTCTCTTCACCTCTTCCTTTTCTCTTTGAGGACCAGGAAGAGTTCTCCTGAGAGATTAGTATCATGTTGGGGGGGCAGTAATCCTCACAACTTCTTTTCCAGTCTTCATCCTGTCTCTCTTTCCATTTGTCCACAGCTCTCTTCCAGGCTTCTCATTTATGCCATTTGCTCTTTTTGGCTCTTTATATTCTTTTGCCTAAAATTGGATAAAACTTTCCAATGAATGCCTAGGCTTATGACATGCCACACACAGAGGTCTAATATGTTTGCTAAACACCACACAAAATTCAGAATTGCTGACATTCCTCAGCTGTGGTCTCCTTCAGCCTTGTGACCATTTCTTACCATACCAAGCCCTGCTCTCCTCAGCTGAATGGAGCCCCTGGAGGTCTCTAGGTAGCTTGAAATTGCCAGCCCCTTTGGGTTCTCTGGCATGAGCTGACCCAAGTATCTTAATGCCCACTGTCTCTACTCCACACTCTTGTCCTCAGGGTGTGCTGGGTGATGCAAGGAGTGGGAAGTCATCCCTCATCCACAGATTCCTAACGGGTTCATACCAGGTGCTGGAGAAGACAGAGAGTGAGTTCTCATGAGCCACAGTAAACTAAGGCTGGGGGATGGGATCCAGGATCAGTGACTGGGCAGTACCAAGGTGCGGCAGACGGGGTGCAATAGCTAAAGTTCAGGGAATGAGGAAAGGTTTTGTGACCTGTCATTACTAACTTACTAAACCTTTCAACTCTTCTGGACAGGTGAGCAGTACAAGAAGGAGATGTTGGTAGACGGGCACACTCATCTGGTGCTGATTCGTGAGGAAGCAGGGGCACCCGATGCCAAGGTGAGGGGTGCAGGCAGTGGCAAGAATGGGCCTGCTGGGGTCAGCTCTGGACACTGGAGCATTCCCTGACTTTCCAGGAGACCCTCTAGGTTCCATCCAGAGGAGTGGGCTTGCCTGACCCTCTGTTTGTCCTCTCCTTGCCTTCAAGTTCTCAGGCTGGGCGGATGCTGTGATCTTTGTCTTCAGCCTGGAGGATGAGAACAGTTTCCAGGCTGTGAGCCATCTCCATGGGCAGCTGAGCTCCCTCCGGGGGGAGGGCCGAGGAGGCCTGGCCTTGGCTCTGGTGGGGACCCAAGGTAAGGAGATGATGGGGAAGCCCTGCTTTCAGGGGAGGTTGGAGGGGACCCCTGGGGTATTGTCTACCATGGGTGAGAATTTGGCATGGTGTTGAACCAGCTACTTAGATTCCAGTAAGTCTCTGGAGGGAGCCTGATGTCCAAATAAGGAAGTCAAAAACCAAACAAACTTCCCAGGGTCTAAGTAAAGAAAAGAGGCCAGCCAGGGAGGAAAGGAGAGCCACAGTGGCCGTCTTTGTTCCTTTCCTAAGATGGTGCTTACCTGTGTTCTCAAATTGCCATTGTCAACACTCCTACCATGTGACACAAACATGTCAAGTCTGAGTAGGGATAGAAAGCTTTTCCCTACAGCTTGGGTCAGGCTAACACCTTTAACCAGAAACTTCTCTAAAAACAAAGTACAAGGAAATACCAGAGAAAGCAGGAGAGCAGAAAACCTTTCAGTTCTCAAAAGAGTAGCTCAGAGGCACTCAGGCTGCACCAGGACAGGAAGAGCGTTGTCACTACCTATTTTTGTCCAGCTGGAGGATGATCTGTGTGCGTGCATATGCTGCTGCAGGTGCTAGCCTCCACCTGCCATTCACCTCCTGGTTTCTCATTGTAGAGTAAGCAACCCACCTGTTACCCGTAGACATTCAACTTTTCCCTAGTTCCTGCCAGTGTCCCCTCACTTGGGTCTCAGGTTCAGTAGATTTTTAGGGTAGGATGAGTTTCAGACAGTTAGGGAAGCTCTACTCACCTCTGGAGTATTGTCTGAAAACATGAGATCACCCCAGCCTCCTTACATGCAGCTGGGCATGTAAGTTGGGCTCAGCACTCATAATGGGTTTGTATGCTAATATTCTACCTGAGGAGAGATGTTCTTCCACACTCTAGCTCCAGGTTGCCCAGCCAGAGCCTGGAGTACAAGATAAAGGGAGGAAGGGGTCTCTCATCCAGTCCTACCCTTTTTCTGTCCCCTCAGACAGGATCAGTGCTTCCTCTCCTCGAGTGGTGGGTGATGCTCGTGCCAGGGCTCTATGCACAGACATGAAACGCTGCAGTTACTATGAAACCTGTGCGACCTATGGGCTCAATGTGGATCGGGTCTTCCAGGAAGGTGAGTGTGATGATTTACAGCATAGGTAAGAAGTGGGAAGCTGGAGGGTCTAGGGTATTGGAGAGGCCCAGTGTCTAGTTTTCTGTTTTCTACTGACAGGAATTGGTCCCTGTGGGAAGGAGGAAATATCTGGGAGGTCGTGGAAGGTTTGATTCATAGTCACAAAATCTTTCTGGGCTGGAGGAGCTGGCTTGGCCAACAGACAGTTTGGAGACCCTAGTGACAAGGAAGTCAGGGCCTATGTTATCTTTTGCAGATTTCTCAAAGCTGGGCATGGAAAAGTGGTCCTGGGTATATTCCCTGCTCATGCCTCTTTCCTCTCCCTTTCCCTTCAGTGGCCCAGAAGGTGGTGACCTTGCGCAAACAGCAGCAACTTCTGGCTGCCTGCAAGTCCCTGCCCAGCTCCCCAAGCCATTCAGCTGCTTCTACTCCTGTAGCTGGGCAGGTGGGTTGGGGTGTCAGAGACAACTGGAGGCGCTGGGAATGAAAAGAAGGATATAGAATTCAGAAGAAAGTTGAGGGAGTAGGGAAATGGTGGAAATGGCAGTGATACTATTTGTAGAAAGTGAATCAGGGTTGAGACATCATTTACAATATCCCAGAGCACGTTAACTAACTTGCTTGTTATTTGCAATGTTGTATAACATAATACTCCGGAAATCAACCTTTGCAAAACTTAAAGCACTGTAACAACCTAGCAAAGATTTATATTATTAATGATACTGTAAATGAATAATGATGAGATTAAGGAATGTCTCATAATTTGATAGAAGCATAGTTGGTGGGTAGGGACTGCTAAGCTATGCTGACTCCTCCATATGCCCCCAGGCTAGTAATGGGGGCCACACTAGCGACTACTCTTCTTCCCTCCCATCTTCACCCAATGTTGGACACCGGGAGCTCCGAGCTGAGGCAGTTGCAGTGGCTGGATTGAGCACACCAGGATCCCTACACCGAGCAGCCAAGCGCAGGACCAGCCTTTTTGCAGTATTGGACTTGCTGACCCCTTATCTTCCTGTCCTCCTGCCTGCCCATCATCCTTAGTCCCCTATACCTCTCTGTGGAGCTCTTCCTCATTTCTTTTCCCCGTCCTTCCATCAGTGGATCCTATCCACCCTCTGGCTAATTCCAATAACCATTCCAGAATCGTCGGGGCAGTGACTCTGAGAAGCGGAGCTTGGACAGTCGGGGAGAGACAACAGGCAGTGGGCGAGCCATCCCCATCAAACAGGTGAGGGGGCCACGGGCTGGAGGAATGCTGGAGCAGTTGTTCTTAGCTGGCTTTTCTCCCACACGTCTCCCTGTTCTCCAGAGCTTCCTGCTAAAGCGAAGTGGCAACTCCTTGAACAAAGAATGGAAGAAGAAATACGTGACCCTGTCTAGTAATGGCTTCCTACTCTACCACCCTAGTATTAATGTGAGTAACAGAGGTGGTCCACACTGGCCAGCTTTAGATATCCTTCCATTTCTGCCTGTCTGTGTCTGATAAGTCCTAGCATTATTTCTGGGAAGCTTTAGTCCTGATCTCTTTATCAAGCAGATTTAGATCCCACCATCTATCCATGATGGGGATAGGAAGATAAATTTATCTCTCCACGAACTTGTAGTCTAAGGGGAGTGTGTCCAGAATGGGCCTGTCCTTGACCTGCTGTTCAAGGGTTCAAGGAATGCTTTCAGGAGGAGATAGTGCCAGACCAAGTCTGACAGATCCACCCCTTAGAAGCTCATCCCGGCCTGGTTAGCTCCCAGGGCCTCTCTTCATCCTGTACTACTGCTTGCTTCCCAGTGCCCACAGAGACTGGAGCATCCTACACTCTTGACCCTGTACCCCTATAGGATTATATCCATAGTACCCATGGCAAGGAGATGGACTTGCTACGAACAACGGTCAAAGTCCCAGGCAAGCGGCCCCCAAGGGCCATCTCTGCTTTTGGCCCCTCAGCCAGTATCAATGGGCTGGTCAAGGACATGAGCACTGTCCAGATGGGTGAAGGCCCTGGTAAGTGGGGCACATGATAAAGGGGCAGGAAAGGAGCCAGGGCTGGAGGAAAGGGCGGGATGTGAAGGAATTGGGGCTACATTGGCTAAGTGGGAAGGGGGTGATGAAGAGGTACTATACAGGGAGGGACTGAGAGACAGGTTCACTTTTGTCTCCTCTTCCTCTCCTCACAGAAGCCACTACTCCCATGCCAAGCCCCAGCCCCAGCCCAAGTTCCCTGCAGCTACCACCAGACCAGACATCCAAACACCTACTAAAGCCTGACCGGAATTTGGCCAGAGCCCTCAGCACTGGTCAGTGGGACCAGCCTCCATCTACTGGCTTCCAGATCCAAATGGGATGTGGGTGGGACGTGAAATAGGGTGGAGGCTTGGAACAGGAATAAATGCATGAGGTAACACAGGAGTGTCTGCTGGGTGCCTGGCACCACGCTCATGTGCCATGTCTATCATGGTGGTGAAGATAAGCAGGTTCTAGAGCCAGACTGCCTGAGCCTGAATCCCTGGTTTGCCTGTCCACATGGGCAAGTCACTTGAGCTCTCTATGCTTCCATTTTTACCTTACAGGATGAGTTTCTTTAAGGCCTAATTAACAAAACCAAGGACCTTGACCAACATATAGTCAGCCATTAGTGTTTGGAATATTCAGACTTATATATCAAAATTGTATAAATTATATGATATTTACAATATATACTTAAATAGAAGTAACACTTTAATGAATGTTCCTCACAACAACCTTATCAGGTCAAGATTATTGTCCCCATTTTAAGGATGAGGAAACTGAGGCTAAGATTGATTTGTTCAGTCTCCAGACCAGTAAATGGCAGAGCCAGGATCTGTCTAATTCTAAGGCACTTAGGAAGGATCCAGGAGGGCCTCTTGGAGAGGGTCAGCTGTGGAGGGACACTCTAAAATGCCAAAGTTAGGTCAGGCAGGAGGCAGACTATCAGCATATCTATGGAGGGGCAACTGAAATAACTGTGTCCCCCTCCCTAAGACTGTACCCCATCTGGAGACCTGAGCCCCCTGAGTCGGGAACCCCCTCCTTCTCCCATGGTGAAGAAGCAGAGGAGGAAAAAGTTGACAACACCATCCAAGACTGAAGGCTCAGCTGTCCAGGCTGAAGGTGAGGCTATGGTGGGTGGTTCCACTTGCACTCTAGCAGACCCTCATCCCAGATATCCAAACCCCTGGCCTAGCTCCTGCAGAGGAGGAAAGGTGCCTGACTTGGGTACTTGACTTTCGTAACCACTGCACAAAACCGAGTGGGAAAATAGATGGACACCATCCGGTCCCTGTCCTTCCCCTGTTCCGTAGCCCCTTTCTCATAAGTCTGTAGCCCCTGTTTCTTCCCCTAATGACTCCCTTGTTCCTGTTCCTGCCCTCATCTCCACTTAGGACCCTAGCATCTGTACCCGGTCCCTAATAATACAGCTCCTGAATTCAGTATCCACATTGCCCTCTGCCCCCATCCCTGCTCTCAAATAACCTACAGTGATTGCCAAGCTCCCCCAACAGCTTTGACCACTGTCCCCCAGCGACAACCCCCCCACAGCTACTGACTTCTCTTGAACCCCAGGACCCTCATCCCAGCCTCTGTCCCCTCTCCTCCTGTTCGCACAGATCCTGACCCTCCCTCCCCACAGAACAGGCTTCTCTTTGGTCATGATGACCATCCCACTGCCCCTGCTTTCTGCCCAGTGCTCAGACCTGGGTTCCAGATCTGCCTACTCTCATGGCTCTTGGCCTCTGCTCCACTCTGCCCCCAGGGCCACTGACTGTAGTTCTGCTTTCTCTCCCCATCTGTCTGTCCTGCTTTGTCTCTGGTACTCTCTGTCACTGTCTCTATCTCTCCGTCTGCCTCTTTCTCTTTTCTTGGTTTCTCTTTCTCTGGTGTGCTCTCCATTCTGTCTCTATCTCCTTCGCTTCGGGAAACCAGCCAAGCGCAAAATGTGGAAACTAAAATCCTTTGGTAGTTTAAGAAATATTTATAAAGCAGGTAACAAGCGGGAGCCGGGAGGGGTGCTCAGCTGGGTGCAGAGGGGTGGGGGTGCCCCTGCCTCTCCCTGCATGTGCTCGGGCTTCCTGCTCTCCCCCCACCCTCTGCTTCCCCTTCCCCCACAGCCCCAGTCCTAGGGGTTCCATGGACATCAGGGAGGAAGGGTTTGGGGAAGGCCCCCTGCTGGAACTCTGTGCCTCATGAATCCTCCTGTCCACCCACCCAGAGGAAAACTTTGAGTTCCTGATCGTATCCAGCACTGGCCAGACGTGGCACTTTGAGGCAGCTAGCTTCGAGGAGCGAGATGCCTGGGTCCAGGCCATCGAGAGTCAAATCCTGGCCAGTCTGCAATGCTGTGAGAGCAGCAAGGTCAAGGTAATGAATGGTTTGAGGCCTCTGGTCAGATGAGGGAGCTGTTCGAGGAAATCAGTGCTAACCTAACCCCTCTCTGCAGCTGCGCACTGACAGCCAAAGCGAAGCCGTGGCCATCCAGGCAATTCGAAACGCAAAGGGAAACTCTATCTGTGTGGACTGTGGAGCCCCCAGTGAGTGCAAGGGCCCTGCAGAGGGGACTGGGAAGTGGTTTCCCGGCCTAGGGAGTGTGTCGTTAGCTGGAGTTATGGATGCTGGGGTAACCCATCATGCTGCCAACCTGAGCCTACGTTGCACTCGGTCCCCAGACCCCACATGGGCCAGCTTGAACCTCGGTGCACTTATCTGCATCGAGTGTTCTGGCATCCACCGGAACCTGGGCACACACCTGTCCCGCGTTCGGTCGCTTGACTTGGACGATTGGCCTCGGGAGCTGACCCTGGTGCTGACGGCCATTGGTAACGACACCGCCAACCGCGTGTGGGAGAGCGACACTCGGGGCCGCGCCAAGCCCACGCGGGATTCTTCGCGGTAAGGGTAAAGGACCGGCTCGGGGGCCGTCCGGTTCTTGGGAGGGTCCTCTGGGTACGGGGCAGAGGCTCTGGTTAGAGGCCCCTAGAACTCCTTCCCTTGGTGGTACTGCAGCGAGGAGCGTGAGTCATGGATTCGTGCCAAGTACGAGCAGCTGCTGTTTCTGGCGCCGCTGGCCACGACGGAGGAGCCGCTGGGCCACCAGCTGTGGTCCGCTGTGCAGGCCCAGGACGTGGCTGCCGTTCTGCTGCTTTTGGCCCATGCGCGACACGGGCCGCTGGACACCAGCGTGGAGGACCCGCAGCTCCGCTCCCCGCTTCACCTGGCGGCAGAGCTCGCCCACGTTGTCATCACGCAACTGCTGTTGTGGGTACGTGAGCGGAGGGGTAGGGAAAGGGATCCTGGAGGGTTTCTTCTCCCAAGTGCCTGGCTTGGAAGGGCTGGACATTCCCCGAGGCGGGTGCGGGTGGGCGCCCTCGGGGACGCGCCGTCACATGTCCCTTTCCGCCCTTCAGTACGGCGCGGATGTGGCTTCCCGCGATGCGCAGGGCCGCACAGCTCTGTTCTACGCTCGGCAGGCTGGAAGCCAGCTGTGCGCGGACATCCTCCTTCAGCACGGCTGCCCGGGGGAGGGTGGCAGCACCGCCACTACGCCCAGCGCGGCTACCACGCCCAGCATCACCGCCACACCCAGCCCGCGGCGCCGGAGCAGCGCAGCCAGCCTGGGCCGCGCGGACGCGGCGATCGCGCTGGTGTAGTTGCCCAGCTGCGGGAGAGACACCCCCCACACCCGCAAGGGCCGGGCACGACCGCACCGGGTGGACCGCTGGACAGATGCACTCACCTCTCCAATCCGCACCCCGCCCTACGGGAGCACTTACTATCCCCCACGAGGGCACAGCCCCCACGCCTCCCAGAGGACACAAACTCACCTCCCTCTCCGCAGCGAGGCACGGAGACCCCAGCTCAACACGCCCCTACTGCACCGTTTCCTAACTCTGTTTGCTCTGGGTCTACCCGTTCTGTCTAAAGAAGGGGACGCCCTAGTCACTGTACGGGCTCCAGGGCGCCCGGACTTGACAGCTCATGCCCCCTAGGGGCGGGTAAAAGACCCATTCCTGCCTGCGTTCAACAATCCCTGGTGGGAGCCCAAACCCAGGCTGGCTCCTGGGGCGACGCCACGCCAGAGGGACGGGTTAGTACGTGGAGGGCTAGCCCTGGGACTTGGGGCCAATACGGGACCCCACCCCTTCCATGCTGATCTCACTGCCTAGTAAGGAGGAAAGGGCAGCGAGGGGCAGGACCCCTGCTGCTCATGGAGGTGTGTGTGTTGGGGTCCCCAACCCTTTCCGTGAAAGGGACCATGATGTGAGTAGAAATCAGATATCCCCCTCTACCTATCTACAGATAGAAGCTAAAGCGCCAGCGGAGCCAAGAGCCTGGGGTCTTCCCCTACCATCCTGGGGGGTGGCAGGCAGAAGGGATGGAGCAGGAGCCGGCTAGAGAGGGGCCTTGTAATTTATTTGCTTTGTTCCCCAATGTGGGGGTGGGGTGGGCAGGGGCGAGGGGAGGGCGTTTCAGGGTTGGGGAAACTAAGGGTGGGCAGGGGTGGGATGGGGTGGGGTGCTCTCGGGTTGTGTCTGTGGCCGTGACTGTGTATCTGTGACTGTGCAGCACCCGTGGTGATCTGGGGTAGGGTGCCTACAATGGGACCCCTCCCCCATTACCCTTTTTGTTCAGCCCCTCTCTCCCACCGGAGCAGCTCCAGACCCGTTCCTCGGCCCCTTGCTCCCTCCCAGCCAGGGCTGAAAGGATGTGCGATGTGGCTGGGATGGTTTCCAGGTCCCTCGCCCAATCCCCAGAAAGGGTGAGGTGGAGTGGATTTACCTGGCCCAGCCCTGCCTCCCTCAGTCAACCCAGGCTTTGGGCTCATCTGTGTCAGTGGTTTCTGGTCTTTTTTTCTTTTCTTTTTTTTTTTTGTTTTCCTGGCTAAAATATTTTCCAAAAGACCAGGTAATTGGGGAGTGGGGAGGGGGCGGGGGTGCTCCCCTCACCTCCTCAGAAGCAAGTGGTATGAATCTTTAACAGCAATTAAAGAGGAAGTGATTTTGTCTAGGGGGTGAGATGCTGGTCTGTTCTTGAAGAGGCAGGTCAGGTTATGGCCTTGGTCAAGGTGGGGAAGTGGAGGTGGGAAACAGCCAGGCAGAGGTGTCTCCCTCTGCGCAGGGGAGTTAGGACAATACCCACAAGCAGTGGTAGCTACATCTTGTACAACAATCCTGAGCTTCAGTGAAAAGAGTACCCAGTAAAAGCAGGCAGGTAGGTGGGAGCAATTGGGGATCTGGATCAGGAAAGAAAACTCACAATTGATGCCAACCCTGGGAGAGTTGGAGTGTGGTGTTTGGAGGCCCAGGGGAGTCTGGTAAAAAGATGGGGTTGCTCTAGTTTAAGAACGAGTAGATCTGATTTTGAAACCTGGACACTGCTCACTAACATAGTGGACCTTGGGCAGGTGAGCTCAGTGGCATCTCTTGACAGGGCACTTGATAAATGCTGTGGTCCTGAGGAGGGCAGCAGTGGGACAGCCTGCTCACCTTGATAACCATTCATCAGGGGCCTATTGGCCGTAAGGGCCTGCTAGGTACTGAGGGGTTTGAGATTTCCTAGCCATTTGCAGGTCCCTGATGGCCACAAGTTCTGTGCCAGCTGATGTAGGCATTTGCCCACTTTTGTTGCTATGGAGACACCCTGGTCATAGTAGGTTGAGCCACAGCACCACCCAGTTCAGCACATAGCCAACCTGTTGTTTTTCATGTGTAGTAGCTGAAAACATCTACCCTGATAGAGTTTGGTGCTAGGTTAGCTAATGCAGGTTGGGTTCCCCCATTATTGTCCAGCTTGGAGCAATCAGTGACATCAGCATCTTTGGGTAGAGATGATTCCAACTTCTAGTGTCCTCTAAGGTGGTCAGCTGCAGATGTGCCAGTGAGCTGACAAGGTGTGGTCTTAGCACCAAAAGCTGGTCTCGTGGAAACTGTTTGCAGGGCCCTGGGCTGGGTACCCACCCAAGCACATCAGCACAACCCAGGGAGAAGTGGATTTGAGGGCAGCGGCAGGCACAGATGCAGTTGTGTGGTCTGGGCCAAATAAAGGGAAGGGGGCAGGGGAGAGAGAAAGCAAACCTTTGCCAATCAGCTAAGCCCCTTGCCACCCTTCTGATTACCATCTTCCCTCAAGGCAAAACCTCACTCCTTTCAGAAGCTCAGGATGTAAGAATACAGGGAGGAAGCAAGGACCCTGGACAGAAAAGTTACTTGTCAGAGGATCCACAGGTCAGTGAAAAGAGGTCAGGGTATCAGGAAATTTCACTACCAAATACTCTGTTTGACTCTTCTGTAAATCTTTAGTCTTGTGAAAAGAGATGGACTGATTTCAAACCCTTCAGGTTGGCACAGAAGGGGACTCCTGGGTGGGCAAGGGTAAGCTGCTGTCCCTTTTACACCTGTTCTCTACCTGGGTTTTTCCCCCCTGTTTTCCGTGTACCTTCTCCCTACTCTCCTGGTTGTCATCTGCCATACATTCAGTTCTCTTCCTTTAGTTTGCCTTAGCACAGCTGAGGCAGTCTGACTTTCATGGGAATTCTGCCAAGAGTCAAAAGGAATTTATTGAAAGCTTAAATTGATTCAACATGGGGAGGTAGTTTGTTTTTATATGGGTTTTTTTGTTTGTTTGTTTGGTCTTTGAGACAGGGTCTCCCTGTAGCTCCAGCTGGCCTTGAACTCACAGATCTGACTGCCTCTGCTTCCTGAGTGCTGGAAGGGAAGTTTCTGTTTTCTGAACATGAGGCTCCATCTCCATCAAACCTCGGCTTCTTCCTTTCCCATTTCAAGTGTGTCTACCGTAGCCTTGCAGCAGCTTTTAGAATTCCTCTAAGACTTGCCTCCAAATCCTACCTCTTCAGAGTTCAGAATCTGGTTTATAAGTTGATGCAAGTCTTGTACAAAGATTGTGACCCTGAGGAAGATGATTTGAACTCAGTGCTCTGCCTGTGGCCACCTTCAAGGCAGTTCCTAAATTCTCATCCAGCTGCAGCATCTATCCCTTCAAGATACATGGATTTAGGAAGCAGGATTTGTAAGTCTACATTTCAAAACAATTTAAGCATAACATGTAAAATAAGCATTCATCACATTCATAAAGAAAAAGGTCAGTCTCACGCAGATTCCCTCAATATCCATCAAATCCTTCACTTGCCATTTCTGGAGGTAGCATGGCATGTACTCAGTCCTTTTCCTGTTACTAGTCGCCTACCCCCAGTCTCCAGCAGGGTCTATGTATGTACCTTCTGTCTGGGGACCCTGAAGACTCTCCCTTTACTGTTGTCAGGGTCTTCTGCCCTAGAAGAAGCAGCAGGTGAGAGAGCCCCTCAGTTGCCTCTGGCAATCGGGAAGAGATGGAGACACCAGCCCCATCTGTCCCTGGTATCCTATGAAGCTGACGTAGGTAGCAGCCCACTCTGGCATGGCATAGGTGGTTTTCCAGGGAACTGTGAATAACCAGGGGCTGTGAGGGGTGCTTGGCATGTAGAATCTGGAGTATGCTGCAGGAAGGAAGATGTCCTAGATGGGTGTGGGAGGGTCTCTGTGGTGCACATTTTGGCTCTCAGGATGTAAGGAGGGAGAAGGGAGGGAATGGTTCTTACCAATGTGAAGCAACTGGCCTAGGGGTGTAGCTCAGTAGTAGAGCACTTGCCTAGCACGTGTGAGGCCCTGGGTTTGTTTCCTAGCATGACTATTTTTTTCTAAAGATGGAGGGGACAGATAAGGAAAGGAGGGACTGGGAGTCTGCCGTAGCTTCACAGTGGTTGTTAGGATTCCTCTGACTTGCCTCCAAGTCTTATTTCTTCAGAGCTCAGAATCTGGTTTTTAAGTCCTGTATGAAGACTGACACTGGGTGTCATTCAGTCCTCATAACAGCTCATGAGGCCAGTGCTTAGTCACAGTTTGCAAGGAGAGAACAGCATTTCTCTCTGGGCTAGTGGGCTTTGTTCAGCTGTCTTGAACTCCAGGGGTACCCCAGCCATGCAGACTTTCTGGAAAGTAGGGAGCAAAGAGGATCAGATGTGTCCCCCGCCCAACTGAGCCTCTCCCCTACCTGAGTACCCTCCACACAGAGGCTGATAGATGAATGGTCCAGTTCTTTATTTAGAAACCTGATTGCTGAAGAACGTGGTGAGTGGCTCTACATCCCACCCTTTTTGCTGGGATTGTGTCTGAGGTGATAGGTAATGGTCTCCCATTCCCTCAGTGACAGAGGTAAAGGCTCCTGACTCAGAAGCATAGACGTAAGGGACTGTAGGAGCAGGAAGGAGAAGGAAATCCAAGGAAGAGACAGGTGACTCCCAAGAGCAACAGGGTAGGGGCAGGCAGTCTGCTTTCTTGGGGGTCCGCTGAACCACCCTGTTCCTGCCATGCCCCATTCACAAGATCTTACCAAGTCTCTGGGTAGGATGGGGAAAGAGTCCACAAATTGGGGAACAATAACAGGAAAGGCCAAGGAGGAAAGGAAGGGCCCTGGAAAGTAGAGACCACAGGTCTGGCTGAGGTCTGGGGATGGGCTCTCCAGAGCTGCAACAGCCCTCTTGGGTTGGCCACACACACACCCACCCTCGGGGTTGGGTCCCTGAAGTCCAGAGCTTAGCTCCAATCTACCCTTTTGCCTCTAGGGCCCCAGGGTCAGAAGTGAGGAGGAGGCCAAGTCAGTCAGGAAGATGTTGGAGTCCTTGGAAGGAGGCAGTGCTGGTTTCAGAAGTCAAACTCATCCAGGTCCCCAGTGCCCTCACCACCTGGAGAGCCCCACACACGGCGGTAATTGCTCTCCAGTTCTTTCTGCCGTTGTCGCTCTTTATTGGCCTCTTCCGCTCCTTGTACCTAGAGGGAGAACAGGGTGAGCTGGAGGTACTGACTGATAGCCAAGGGAAGCTGTGCTGCAGGATCCTGGGAGGTCCTGAGCTCTGCAGTGGGCAGGGCCGGCATATAGATAGGGTCTCCTAAGGGGTTCTCCCTGAGTGGAGGCCAGTCTTAGCTTTGCCTCACAGACAGGGGGCTTAGGTTCAGCAGTGGGGACAGTCTTGGAGAGCTCACTTTCACTAGCACTTCAGGGAGCGCTAGGGGCTCAGCACTCCAGTGGGATGCCTTACCAAGATATTGAAAAAGATCTCTTTGAGGTTTTTTGTGTCCTCATCAGTCAGCCAACGTGTGTCCTCCTCATTCCCATCAGCCCCAGGTCGTACAATTTTGATCTCAATCTTGCCTGGAAGGACCAGTGTGGGTAGTGAGGAGGAGAAGGCTGGGAACTTTAGGGGGTCCCCGGCCCCCCATATCCCCAGCTGAAGTTTCCAGTCCACCTTGACCCAGCCTAATCACCACCCTCCAGGGCCCACCTTCGGCCGCGAGTCCCTCCCTCTCCAGCACTTCTTTCACCAGCCCCTCGATTTGTTTCAGCTGTGGGTTTTCCCGTTTCATCTCGAGGACAGTCAGATCCTGATTGGGGCCTCCGTGACGGAGCTTGGTGACCCGGACCCGGACTCTGTGCTCAGGATCCTCCTCTTAGAGGGGAAGACACAGGGAGACACAAAGCAGAGCTGTGACTCCAGGGTTGGGGGTTGCTGCTCCCTAAGCCATGGGCTGGTTTGGGGGATATTCCATCACAGCTTGTGTGTGAGCCAGGATTCAAAAAGAGTACACTTAGGGCAAGGTGTGGTGGTACCCACACCTTTAATGCTGGCACTCAGGGGGTAGAGGCTTGAAGATCTCTGTGAAATTGAGGCCTGGCTGGTCTACCTAGCCAGTTCCAGACTAGCTGGGGCTACAGGGAGACCCTGTCTCAAAAATATCCCCCCCGCAAAAAAAAGTGCACTTGCCCCAACTGCAGCCTTCCTTCTGTCCTCACCCTGCTATTCTGCCCACCGTCTATGGGAAAACAGCTGGTTTCTGAAAGCCAAACTCAAATCACCAGCACCAAGGGAGCAGTTTTAAGGAGCACGTTGGAAAGCTATGGCTTGTTTTTAGACATTTCAAGACTTTAAACACTTTACACTGTTTACTGAAATAGTGGGATGGAAACTTTGAAACTGAAATGTTCTGGTTAAAATGCCTCATCTCCATACCTGTTGAACTCTGTGGAATGAACATATGGGGTTGCAAGAAGGAATAACTGAGGTATGCCCAGGTTGGTGGCTGGTGGCTTACGTCAATGGGCTGCGAATTCACACTGACAGCTGGAGCCTATCCCAGAGCAGAGTCCCTATCACAGTCTGCCCCATCACAGCCTGCCAAGGTTTGTCTGTCCCATCCCCCTATGGGTCGCTATAGAAACCAAACTGTCTGTCTCCTTTTCCTCAATCCCTACCCATCTAGGGAAAGCCAAGCTGTCTAAGAGCTGCCCCTTCACAGACATGGACTTTTCAGCATTTAGGCTCATAGTCAATCAGTTACTATGTGCCAGGCCTCCAATAGGCACCGGGCACAGAGGAGCAAACCAGAAACCAAGACAGACTCTCCAAAAGGATGATTAAGAGATATCCACACAGAGAGGACAGTGGTGGGAAGAAACCAGCAGGGAAAAGTGTTCCAGAAGGGCGATGCCCTCTGCGACCAGCAACCACCAAGGAGAAAAGAAAACTAACCCAGCTATTCCTTGCTGGTGGCTCTCACCTGTAGGGTGAGGTGATGGAGGAGGCTTTTTGGGAACAACCGTCCTTTTCCTGTATGTCTGCGCCAGCTCTGGACTCTGGTTTTCCTGCAGTTTCTTGATGAGTTTGTCAAGAGTGGATGTCAGTGCCAATATTGCTTGCTCACGCTCTGATTCCTTCTTCAGCCCATCTGGGTCCAGCTCCTTCTCTGTCTGGAAGGAAAGGAAGGGGGTGATCAGAGTTTAGGGAGCAGAGGCCAGGGTACACGCTCAATAAGACAGGTAACTCGTCCTTTCATCCCCCTCTTTAATCTTTTAATTAAGAGAACAGCCAGGAGGCTGGGAGGTTCTGCTCTGGGCTTCGAGCTGCACTGGTGCTATCCTTTACTTCTGTCCCTCAGCCCGTCCTGCCCTACAGATGCAGCCACCTGCTGCAGCCACAGGGCTAAGAGCTGGGCTCACCTCCTGGATGATGCTCTCTAGTTCCTGCTCCATGCCAGCCTTCACCTCTGAGCGGAACTGTTCTCGGTCTGAGGGAAGTAGCATCCCTTCTAGCTCCTTCTCGAATTCTCCCAGTAACTGCTGCTCATCCTCATCCTCGTCCTCATCCTCATCACTGTCCTCTTCTTCCACCACACTCTGCGGTACGTCATCCTTGTCCTTCACCTTGGCTTCCCTCTCAGGGGCCTCTTCGGCATCGTCTCCAGGCTGCTCTTGGTCTGTACTTGGCTTCCCCTGGGTGGGTAGGAGTTGGGGAGGAGAGAGACAGTTTGGGGACTTCAAGGGCAACATGTGGTGAGGGGTGGACAAATTTTGGCAGGGCATGATACCACATGGGGGACTCAAGAAGGACAGGATGGGAGCCAGCTCTATTGGGCCCGATTTGACCCAGGTAAGGATGCCCACAGCCATGAGGTAGCTCCCACCCCTCCCCTGAGCAGGACCATACCTTTCGTGTCCCACCTTTCAGCTCCTCTATCAATCGAATCAAGTCTGCAGGGCTCCGAATGACTTTGACCTGCACATTGTTCTGAAAATCTGAGGTGAGAGAGTAGGCATGGGCCTTCTGCCTTCTAAATCCTCCTGGTGCTTAAGGAAAGGCAGTGAGAGGCCAAGGAAGGGCAGCCTCTGCCTCCAGGAGCTGTCTGGAGGCTGAGAAAAGGGAAACAAACCCCTCCAGGGACCTCTGTCCTCAGTGGGCTCATGGCAGGGACATGGATACCAATGTGGTGCTACATCTGTCCTCTTCCATGAACTCCTGGGACTCTTTTGGCAAAAACTCTAGCTTTGAGGCCTACAGAGGAGATTCAGAGGCCAAGGCTCCTCTCCACTGGATTCTGCTTTCTCCTTTCTACAAATATTAACCATTCCTTGTCGAAGGAGTTCTAGGCATTCTGTTATGAATTACCAGTTCACGTCCATGGACTCTCATAACCCTCTAAGGTGCAGCTTTACCCACATTTTTGGGGGAAGCAAATTGACATTGAGTGAAATCATCTTGGAATACAAGATCAGTAAATAAACAGCAGAGCCTTTGTGCTCTGTGACCTTCTCAAGCAACATCCCTGCTCAAAGGGGAGTCCCTCAGTAAAGTGAATTCCCCGGAGCCAGGGGGATCACTCAGTGGTACAGCATGTGCTTGCAAGAACTGGATCCAATCCCCAGCACCATGAAAAACAGAGAGGGGAGAGAAAAGGAGGGAGAGATGAATTTTCTGCGGGCCTGGTCGCCCAATCTCCCTCCGGTGTTTAGCTCCACTCTCTACCCCATCTAAAAACTGGAGGCGACATGGAGGGTTAACTAACCTTCAGGAGGGCTGGGAACTGGGTCTGCTGCAGCCTCAAGGTTCAGGTCCTGTCCCTGAGGAGGAGAGGATAGACTCAGGTATGAAGGCTTTTTATGCCCACCATGCTCCTCCTAGCAATATCCTTGCATCCCTAGACAGACAGAAGTCACCTCATTAACAACACTGGCTGACAAAGAAGCAGCTTGAGAAGCCAGCCCTCACCCCTGCCTGTGCCTCCTCTCCTCCTGCAGCCTGGTTCTCTGGCTGATGAAGCATCTTCCAAAACTCTGATTCCTCATCTTCCTTGGCTATGTTTACGTCTGGGGTACAAAGAACAGGAGGGAATGTGAAAGGAGAAGAGAGGGGAAGGGAGCAAAGTAGGAAGGGGGTACAGTCCCTCATATTGCCAAGGGATTAGAGTCCGCCCATGCATGCTCATCAGTACAGGAAGTAAGATTAGGGGAAAGAAGGAAGGGAAGGAGGGGAGGAGGGAGGGAGAATGGAGGGAAGAAAGGCTAGGTTTATGGAACAGAAAAAACCATACCCTACCTGCTTTCTTTGGGGGTACTACAGTAGTCTTGGTCTCACTCCACATTTGGTGGTCTGGGTCTTGAACCTCCTCTGTGACTTTCTCTTCAAACTGCTTTGAATCTACCGAAGAACAGTGTGTTAAGATTCCCATTCCTCCACCCTGCCTGCCCCCATCTCCACCACTCCTTCCTCCCCTCCCTCTCCCACTCACTCACCCGCTTGCCTCTGAAGGTAGGCCAGGTACTCATCGGGCTGCAGGCTTGGGTGACAGAGAATGGCCTGTGGGGCAGCACTGGCTGGGGGCCGGAGGAGAGGGTGGGGACAGAGCCGGGAAGTCCGGATGGTCAGCACATAAGAGCAGGACAAGGGCTCATCTACACGATCAATGTAGTCCCCGGAAATGCCTGCACCCTCGTCACAGAGGAACTGCCAGGATAGGAAGGGAGAATAAGTTTAACGGCCACGGGGAAGTGGCTCTAGCTCTTGGAGTAGCTATCTTCTGTTAAACATGTCTGTGTCAGGCACCAGGCACACACTGTGTATATGGCACATTATACAGATCAGCCCATTTAATTGTCACAAAAACCCAGTGAGAAAGGGATTAGTGCCTCAACTCTATGGCCCAAGACATCAAAATTTAGGTTTAATTTAGGATTAGTTAAGACACTGTCAGGCTGGGTGTGGTGGTGCACGCCTTTAATCCTAACACTCAGGAGACAGAGGCAGGTGGATCTTTGTGAACTGAGGCCAGCCTGGTCTACATAGGGAATTTCAGGCCAAGCAGGCCTACGTAGCAAGGCCCTGTCTCAAAAAAAAAAAAAAAAAAAAAAAGAAAAAAGATATTTGCTCAGGTTCACCAGTTGGTAAGTGGTAAAAATGGAAAATAACTCAGACAATTTAACTGTAAATAGTTCATTATTGGTATCACTTTCCTGTGTTGTATAAATATAGTATGTGTGGGCTATTGAAATGGCTCAGTGGGTACAGGTGCTTGGCGTCCCACATGTTGGAAGGAGAAAACTAATTACCACAAATTGTCCTCTGACCTCCACACATTGCATGCACATGCTTTCACATCCACACAATAATAGTAAATAAAATTTAAAAATTAAAAAAAGAGAATGAGAATTTAAGCAAGGCACGGCAAGTGCATACCTACAATCCCAATACTCAGGAGGCTAAGGTAAGATTGCTGCAAGCTCAAGGCCAGTCTGGGCTACAGTATAAAAAAAAATTTTTTTTTTTTGTTTGCTTGTTTTGATCTTTTTGAGACAGGGTCTTCCTGTAGCCCCAGCTGTCCTGGAACTCACTATGTAGACCAGGCTGGCCTTGAACTCACAGTGACCCACCTGCCTCTGCCTCGGAGTGCTGGGATTAAAGGTGTGCGCCACCACACATGGCTGAAAATAAACAAATTTTAAAAACTGAATTTACAATTAGGAGTGCTTGTGTTGGCTGGTAATTATCCTAGCAATAGGAAGCTGAAGCAAGTGAATCTCAAGTTCAAGGTTAGCTTAGGCTACATAGCAAGTTTAAGTCCAGCCTGGGTTCCAGAGCAAGATCCTGTCACACACACACACACACACACACACACACACACACAAAAGCAAGCAAACTTTTATACCTCAATTAATAAAAAGATAACACAATTTAAAAATGTGAAAAAGGGGGCTTGGTGGTTAAAAGCACTGGCTGCTCTTGGTGAGGACCAGTGTCCAGTTCCCAGCACCCACATAGCAGCTAACAACCATCCATAACTCCAGTTCCATGGGATTCAACACCCTCTTCCGGCCTCCACTGGAATTGCATGACATGGGTGCACTTACAGGTATACAAAACAGTCATACAAATAAAAATAAGTAATATAGCTGGGCATGGCATGCCTTTAATCCCAGCACTCAAGAGGCAGAGGCAGGTGGACCTCTGTGAGTTTCAGGCCAGCCTGGTCTACATAGTGAGAAAGACCAAAAAGAAAAGTAAAATTGGGGGCTGGAGAGATGGTTCAGCAGTTAGGATGCTCTTGCAGAGGACCCAGGTTCAATTCTCAGCACCCACATGGCAGCTAACAACCATCCATAACTCCAGTTCCAGGGGATCCAACACCTTCTTCTGACCTCCAGGGGCATTGCATGACATGGGTGCACCTACATACATGCAGGCAATATATTCATAGACATAAAATAAAAAAACATTAAAAAATATTTTGGTTTGCTTTTATTATTTTATGTGTATGAGTATGCCTGCATGTGTGTAAGTGCACCCACGCAGTGCAGTGCCTGAGGACAGAAGAATCTGTTGGATCCCCTGGAACTGGAGTTATGGACAGTTGTTAGCCACCATGTGGGTGCTGGGATTTGAACCTGGGTCTTCTGCAAGAACAGCCAGTGCTCTCAACCACTAAGTCATCCCTCCAGCCCCACACACTAAAACATTTTAAAGAAATATTTATGGATGAGATAGTATTATGTTTGTGGTTCACTCTCAAATAATCTGCACGTAGAGGTGTTAGTGAGGTTGGTAGGAAGGGGACAGATAAAGCAGCTTGTCCATCTAGTCAAAGCTAGATGGTATGCAACTCTCAAGTGTGTGTACCCAGGTATGCACACATCACAGAGTACTTGTGGAAGTCAGAGGGCAATCTCAGGCCTCACATCCTGCCTTGTTTGAAGCAGGGTGTCTCTTGGTTGCTGACTCAAGCTTTCAGGGATTCTCCTATCTCTCCCTCGGCAAAGGAGCATTGGGATTACAGATGCATGTTACCAAACCCAGCTTTACACAGGTCCTGGGGATTCAAACTCATGTCCCTACACTTCTGTGGCAAGCACTTTACCCACTGTGCCATTTCCCCAGCCATGAAGCTGAACTTTTTTGTTTTGTTTTTGAGACAGGGTCTTACTATGCAGCTAGCCTAGAATTTGCTATGTAGACCAGGCTGTCCTTTATCTGCCTGCCTGTGTCTCCCCAATGTTGGGATTAAAGGCCATGTGCCACCACCACCATGGCTGGCATTGTCAACTCTTGATTCTCTTGCCTCCACCTTTCAAGTGCTGGGACTAAGCCATGTGCCACTATGTCCAAGCTAATTCCCTTATCTTCCTTTTTTCAAACCTCTCCCTCCCCCTTGTCTCCCCTCCCCTGTAGCTTATGCTACCATGCCTAGTTGCATTTTTATACTGCTTTAAAAAAGACAAGTTTCAAATAAATAACCTGTACCCAACAACTATACTTAATATCTATACATGCACAATATATTCAATTAATTTTTGTGAGACAAGGTCTTATAATGTAACTTAGGCTGGCCTCAAAGTCACTGATTTCCTGCCATGGTCTCCCAAACACTGGAATTACAGGCATGTACGACCACAGCCAGTTAAAAAATTTTGAATTAAGTTAATTAAAAACATTTTTTTTCAGACAAGGTCTCACCATGCAGTTCTGTCTGGCCTGAAACTTGCTATGTAGACCAGGCTGGCCTGAACTCAAAGAAATCTGTCTGCCTCAGTCTCCCCAGTGCAAGGATTAAAGGTGTGCACTATCATGCCTGGCCTTATTTTTATTAAAAACATTTTTTTGTTGGTTTTTATCCATACAGGATCTCACTAGGTAACCCTGGCTGTCCTGGAACTTGCTATGGAGACTAGGCTGGCCTTAAACTTGTGATGATCCTCCTGTTTCTGTCTCCAGTGCTAGGATTATGGGTGTGAGTCACCTTGTCAAGTAAAAAGGTTTACTTATTTTTAATTTTTAAAAATTTTATGTGTATGCATGTATTGCCTGCATGTAGGTAAGTGCACCTGTGTCGTGCAATGCCCTCGGAGGTCAGAAAAGGCTGTTGGATCCCCTGGAATTGGAGTTACGGACAGTTGTTAGCTGCCATGTGGGTGCTGGGATTCGAACCGGGGTCTTCTGCAAGAATAACCAGTGTTCTTAACTGCTGAACCATCTCTCCAGCCCCCTACTTATTTATTTCTTAAAGTTTTATTTTTGGGCAGGGTGTAGTGATACATGCCTTAATCCCTGCAATCAGGAGGCAGAGGTAGGTTATCTTTGTGAGACTGAGGACAGTTTGGTCTACACAGTAAGTTCCAGGGTAACTGGGGCTATAGGGAGACACTGTCTCAAAAACAAAAAGATTTATGGGCTGGAGAGATGACTCAGTGGTTAAGAGCACATACTATCCTTCCAAAGGACCCGAGTTCAATTCCCAGAAATCATATCAGGTAGCTCACAACTGCCTGTAACATCTGATACCTCTGACTTCCACAAGCACACATGGGCACATATCCCTACCCCCCACATATAAACATAATTAAAAATTAAAAAATAATTTTGGGGGGTCTTTTTGAAACAGGGTCTCCCTGTAGCCCTAGCTGGCTTGGAACTCACTATGTTTAACCCAAGTGGTTAAACTCAGCCATCTCTCCAGACCCTGAAAATGTTTTATTTTTAATGACATAACAATTTTACATATTTGTAGGGCAAAGTGTGATAATCTGACATGTATACAATGTGAAATAGTCAAATCAGGGTAATTAGCATTTATATCTCCTAAAATACTTTATGTAAAAACCTTTTGTGATAACAAAAGCTTGTGGGGAAAAGGGGTACCATTGCAGTCAGCACCATAATGTGGTAAGATGATGGAACCTATATGTAATGGAGTATTTATTACACGGCTATAAAAACAAGAAAGCGCTAGATATATTGCCATTGGAAGATCTCTAAGAATTGCTGTCAAGGGAAATAATAAGGATAGAGTCAGGTATGGGGTCACACACCTGTAAGCCCAGCACTCAGGAGGTAGAGACAGGAGGGCCCAGAGTTCAAAACCAGCCTGTCTCAGAACAAAACAAAAACAAAAATTAAAAAATGTAGAAACAAAATAAAGCAAAATTCCAAGGAATAGATATTTGTTTACTATAACTTGTGTGTAAAGAAGAAAGGAAATAAGAATCTTATCACAATTAAACCAAAAAACAAAACAACCCAACAAAACCAAAGCTGATGGAAAAAAAGAGCAGGGATTTCCTATGGGGCAAAGGCAAGGATGAGAAATGATCAGGGGGCGATGGCTCAGCAGGTAAGAGTGCTTGTGACCCAAGCATGAGGATCTGAGTTCACATCCCCAGAACCCACATAAAAAGCTGGACCCGGTCAGGCAGGCCTGTAACTTCAGCACTGTGGTGGGGCAGAGACAGGAGAATTTCTGGGGCTTGCTAGCCACCAGCCCAGCTCCAGGCTCACTTAGAGATCCCGTTTCAAGACAGTAACACAGAGGGTGATACAGCAGGCCACCCCATAGCCTCCTCTGGCCTCAGCATGCACATATGCCTGCACACCACACACACACATGAATGAATGAATGAATGAATGAATGAATGATAAGCAAACAAACAGGCAAGAGACAAGTCTGGGAAAAAGACAGT